CGACCCGACCTATTGTCATCTCTACTTCTTCTCAAAATCCTATCCCCACCCCTACCTCCTATCCCACCCAAACCCCTGAAAATCATCCGCCGACACCAACGCAGGCAACCTAAAAAACTTTTTGTGTTTTCACACCTTCGTTTTTCGATTGTTATATCCGTGGTAGAATCCAAATGAACAAGGAAAAAAAAATCCATCCAGATAACAAGCAAACCGACACTACTAGAATCCAGATCCATACCAAGTAGCCACCACGAACACGCCCAAAACGGCCCCTTAACCTCCAGACCACCATCGTACATGGTGGAGGAGCCTGACGTCTTGCATGAATGCTCAGCGGGAAAAGACGAGCGCGGCGGAGATCGCAAAACTAAGTTTTAGTCAAACAATCACCCTCCATAATTCCAGCTTCATTACACTTCTCCATTAAAGCTCCCGTGCAATTCCCTCCCGTTAGTGCTTATTCTCTGCCATTAACTTCCCAATTGTTTCATCCTCTACTAAGCATAATTTAGCTCCTATTTAATAACCATTATTTGACTATTTTTTTCACGTACTCATTATTTGAAAATTCTTTTTTCCCGTACTCATTTTCAATCACGAATTTACACAATAAAATATTATGCACTTTGATGCTACCAAAAATCTTATATGTTGATTCCGAGCTTCACGATTAAGAATGAGTACGAGCGAGATCTTCGAGTACTTGAAACAAAGGTATTGAGGTGTGTCATCATTGCCCCTTCGATGTTTAAGTCAAAGAGAGAATTTGGCGAATATTATGTTAAACATACCTTAATAATGAATTAAAATAATATATTTATAGAGGTAGGTAGTACATTTCTAGTAAGATTACAACGTTGAAATCCCTACGAGTTCTAACGTGATTGGAAGTTGCAATTCAATTGGTTTTATATCGCCCATGTGTTTGGATAAAGATGGATGGGACTCTAGTGGTAGGATCCTTCCTGAATGGTACAACATACTTACTACAAGATTCCTTCCTTGGAAATTCGTAACTTCAAGGAGGTCCTAAGTCAGCGGGAGAATTCCCATCCTCGAGGAAGTGGCTGAGGAGTATCACCCGAGGAGGTCGCAATCCAGTCGTGGACAAATATGAACCTCGGGCAATAGTCCTCGGGATGACACATATGGGATGATCACACTTAAACCCAAAAATTATCTTACTTTTTAATCATGCATTCTCTTAGAAATCGCTGTTCAAAAATATTATTTTTGAGAAATAATGATTTTCAAACAGGGGCTTAGTTAAAAAAAAAAAGGTAGAAGAAGGCGTAAGAGTACAAATGCTTTGAAACTTTGGAGAGTAGCCATTAGCCGTGGAGGCTGATGACTGTTTTGAGGAATGGACTTTGAGGATGAAGGCTGGAAAATTGATAAATTGGGTTATAGAAGAAAGTTGAATAAAGGAAGTGAAAGTTGAATTGAGTGGTAAAAAATTGAAGTAGCATGTGAGGTGTCATCAGTTAAGATTTCGGTGAATATTAAAATATTATAAATTCTAACAAATTTCTTGAATTTGAATAGATTTTCACAAATTTCATAAGAAT